GTATGTTCTTACAGAGCCTGTCAGCCTCTTCAAATGTGGTAAATCGCAGGCTTCTGTGAAATCCTCGCTCGGAGCTATGAGTCGTCAAAGTTTGTCGCAATGTTAAGTCTATGGGATTTTTGGGAAATTTGTTCGCCCTTCGGGCGAACATCGTACCCCCGATCGCTTAGAAAAGTCATAGCACACCATTCCCGAATATTCCGCACGTTTTGAGACCTCATTCATGGGTGTGTGACAAAAACTGCAGGAGGAGTAGCGTGCCAAACTTTTGGGCCGACTCAAAAAACACAATAGTAATAGTGTTGCCTTGCTTTCAGCAAGCACCACTAATAACATGGGGGTCAATGGGGAAAATTTGGGCAGCTCCTGCCCCCCAGGGGTGCAACTTTTACCCCATTGTGTGGTATGTTCTTACAGAGCCTGTCAGCCTCTTCAAATGTGGTAAATTGCAGGCTTCTGTGAAATTCTCGCTCGGAGCTATGAGTCGTCAAAGTTTGTCGCAATGTTAAGTCTATGGGATTTTTAGGAAATTTGTTCGCCCTTCGGGCGAACATCGTACCCCCGATCGCTTAGAAAAGTCATAGCACACCATTCCCGAATATTCCGCACGTTTTGAGACCTCATTCATGGGTGTGTGACAAAAACTGCTGGAGGAGTAGCGCGTCAAACTTTTTGGCCGGCTCAAAAAACACAATAGTAATAGTGTTGCCTTGCTTTCAGCAAGCACCACTAATAATAAGTTTAAATAGGATTTCAGTAAGTTGGCTTTCTCAAGCCAACTTAATTATTTATTTATTTTTCCCTAAATAAGTGTTGTAGTATAAGCAGGACAGCAGTGTTTGAACTGAATCGCATCATGGAGCAACAATACAGTGCATTACAGTGAAGTTATTGAATATTTTCCATGAATAAAAATCATAACATTATGCAAAAACACTTGTATAAGTTACCAAAATAAATGTTGTATAACCATCAAGACAGCAGTGGTGTATTGTAGATTTAAAAATTCTGCTTTCCCCTCGTTGTTGATTAATTTCATGAAAAGACAGTGATTTTGCCAAGAGATCTCTCGTATTTATTTATTTATAATTTTTAGAAGGTGGAAGAGACTATAGACAAACAGAGGTCTTCATTCTGCATCGTTGTCATCTCTTCCTGCTTTTCAGACAAAAGGGCTCAGATTTTCTACTACTGACCAAGGAAAAAACTGCATCACCATAGTAACACATACATTAGCACAAAAACATGTGGTTCCCATCAAGAATGGAATGTATATCCAATCCCGGGGGAAACTAAACACTGCATACTTTCAGTCTCACTCCAACATACATTTTCTCCTGCAGTCTAACTTATCACAAAGTCTCCTAAAGTCTCTCTCTCTCCCACATCTTCAAAACAGTATAATTCACAAAATGCAATGATTACAAATGATTATGAATGTAAACAAAAAGTAATAAAACAGATATATAATACTTCTGATATTGAATATTAATAAAAAGGTAATAATAGTACAACATTAAGTGAAGAGATTTTCAATCTTCATGTATAAACTGAATTTGGTGACACTAAAGTGCGTGACTGAAGTTATCTACAGTAGTACTACGATTCAAAAGTGTTTAGTTCGTTTGTGAATGTCTTTACTCAACTGTTAAAGTGTTAGTAATACAACATGGTTCTTTTTCAGCGGATACCTCGTGTCTAAATCTGTGTTATCTTAATGTACCACAACAGTCATTAAAGAAAAATAGACACCAACCTGCTTGTTCCTCGTGTGTTATTCTCCCGGGATCTGCTTTTTCACTGGAGTTCTCCTCAATCTCCTCTTTAAAGAGTAACTAAACCCCTGGTCAGAGCCTGACTCCACACACTGGCAATATTTGAAAAATGCTGAAAAAGTGGGCAGACCCCAGCGGAGATAGAGGGGAGGAGCCGAGGGCGGGGCTGAGTGGGGGGGGGGGGGTCAGCTGTCTGACAGCAGCTGTCAATAGAGAGCCTATGTCCCGCCCCTCCCTCCGCTCATGGGACCTTGTTTCGTAAAAAATATGAATGGTTGTCAATGGAGAGAGACAACTTATCTTTTTATTCCGTCTGAATTGTGCCCTCAATTACACATATGATGTTTGTCAATTTAAAAGATAATTCTGAAAGTCAAAAACGTCGCAGTTTGTCATAAAACAGAAGAGTAACATTTAGTTTTATGTGAAAATCGCTCAATAAACTACATCTCCCGGGAAGCGAAACGAGATCCGCTGCTCGTGTGTGTGCGGTCTGGTACAAAACACTCGTTTATAAACACGATTATAACGTTAGACTGTAGAAACAATGACAGACAATAGCATCAGTAAAGTTAGCTTCATTCATTGAGAGAAAATGTGCGCCTTTGGGGTTTGTAGTCTTTGTAATGACGTATTTTCACAGTCTTAAACCTCAACGGTTTTACATCAAACTGCGACTTTCTTTACTTTAAAATGTATCTTTTAAATTGACAAACATCATATATGTAATTCAGGGCACAATTCAAACCAGATCAAAATATTTGTCGTCTCTCGCCATTGACTCAATATTTTTCCGAAATAAGGTCCCAGGGTGGTCGACCGGAAGGGGAGGGACTTAAGGGTAGCTTTGGGCAGAGCGATATCAATTCCAGCCGCTGGCTCAAACTGCGGTCTTGACTCCCGCATCGCGACCAGCATCTGATGAGTTCTGTCGAGTTGATGTCAATAGCGCGCACTCTGTAGGCAGCTATGTGAAAAAAATCCAGCAAATTCGCCGGCACGTTTGTCGACCCCAGAGGATTAGCTTTAGCCTAACCATAAATTGTGATTAAAATGTACAAGACGCCGCTGCGGTGGTATTAGGGGTGTAAGAAAAAATCGATACACTTGAGTATCGCGATATTTTATTTTGCAATACTGTATCGATTTTCATAAACGAAATATCGTTTTTTTTTGTTGTTTTTTTGTTTTTTTGAAAAAAAATGTTTAATGCATAGACGCACCACTAGCCTAACGTTTTGCTAGAAACAACATATGGCTGAACCCCGTGTAAAGACCGGCTCCCGCTCTATTTCGTTTGGAAGTGTGGAATCATAAAGAGGGCACTAACGATATCGACAGGAACCATGCAGTTGTGAACTGTGTCTTTACAAGTTCGGCGCGTGAGCAACGGGGTATTTTTTCGTCGTGCATGTTAATCAATGAGTGCGTTCATTCACACCGCGAGCAGTAGCCGCGCATAAAGGCCAATTTATACTTCTGCGTCGAGGGTACGCCGTAGTGTACGGCGTTGGCCGTTGTGAGCATTTATACTTCTGCGTTCAGGTCTTGGTTGCTCTGCAGTACTGCTACGAAACGCTAGGAGGCAGCGGAGGGTTTTAATGTTCCACTGTGTTTAGATTCCTCGCGGCTAGGTTACTACAAGCAATAGCGACTGAAAGAGAGCGGATCATGTTGGAGTTGGAGCTTATTGGGGTGAAAAAACAGTTCATTTTAGTGAAATTACTAAAACTGAAAGGCAGAAATGAGAGAAGACGTCGGAGGAGATGGTACGTGTGGAAATGCGTGAGAAGGTACGTGCGGAAATGCGTATGAGGAAATACGACGCTACCAAGCCGACCAATTACCGATCTTGCGGTCCGCGTCGTCGCGACGTGTAGTTAGATTTTTGAAGAGGTGCGCGTCAGGCAACGCGGAAGGGTACGCGGTATGGGACGCGTCTGTGCGTATGCTACGCCGTACCTACTGCGCGCACCCTACGCAGAAGTATAAATTGGCCTTAAGCGTCAAGCAGGACCGTCGCGTGAGCACAGTGAAACGGGGGTTTCGGCGGAGAGTCTGTAAGAGCGTCGCACACCAGACGAGAAGCTCAGCGCCACATCTTTAAAATTCGAACACATTATTCTCTATGAGTGAGTGTACACACACTTTGGCGTCTGTGACTGTCCGCGGCGCCCAGCAACGGCTCAGGACCGTGTTCAAAATCCTGCTGCGCCACAGAGCGCCATTTACATAGTTTTATATAAAATTTAAATTATTTTTGTCTCAAATCGTTGCTAATGTATGCTGCTTGAATGACAATTGCTGATGTTATTGGATATTTCAGGTGAGATTCTCAATTCATTCAGTTAAGGCGTTAACTGAATGATTGCTCTGAGGTAAAGTTTTCAGACTGCAGACTCAGCAACGATTGTATTTAATTGTACAGTACAATCATAAAATAGAACTGACATTATCTTCATTTCATGTCATTAAACAGCAATATTGCTGGCCAAACACTGATGAGAAAGTGCGCGTCGATCTGGTGTGCGACCTAGTTTTCCTACTGGCGCTGCGCTTGTCGTTTATGACCAACTTCTAAAAACACATTTAACCAAAGTTTTTTTAATGAACCTGTGAACCACAATCCCAAACTGGTAGTTTGATTTTCTGAGTACTGAATTGTTTCAGTAAACTTGTTTGACTTTAATTCACATCATGTTTTTTTTTTTTTTTTTTAAATATTACTTTTTCTAAAATTATAGTCCTACTTAAAAAAAAAAAATCCCAATATATCGCCTTATGGACAGTATCGGAATATATTGCAATATATTGAATCGTGACCCATGAATCGTGATGCGTATCGTATCGCCAGATTCTTGCCAATACACAGCCCTAGGTGGTATCGGATAAAACCCAACCGATACCCAACCCTAGTTATCTCCAATAAAAGTATGACCCCTTTAAAGTTATTAATGTTCTTAAACATATGTTTCAGTATCTAGATTGTACATTAGTACACTTTAATATCTTAATTAAGTTACAATTCTGTTCAGGTTATAAGCTTTCAGATAAGACAAAACATGTTCGAACACATAAAACAATGTGTATGGTGTCGTTATTTAGGCTACCTCTGTGTCATTCATGTTTTTGTATTATTGATGTTTTAGTCATGTCATATTGTGAGCAATAACAGTATCATCTTTCAATAGAGCATTTTTCCAGGCTTTTGTCATCCTGACTCAAATAATGTGTTTCCAGCAGAAAACACTCAGAATAAAGTGAGATGATCTGCTGATGATCCTGAATGGCTTGTTGAATGAGTGTTGATAGTCTGAGGATCATCAATATTAACAGATCTGCTGAAAACACTCTTTATTTCATGACAATAGTTCCTGTTTTCACCTCATTTATTATGCTGATGTCTTCACAGCTCCTGTAAATGGACACTTAAAGCTCATTTTATTAGTGTCAGACTGAGGGGATTTGGTGGTTAGTTCTTTAGGCCTGTGTATAACTGTTTTTCTTACCATTATTTATATTTGGAATAATTTCATTACATTATTTATATTCTGTTATCAATAAGTATAGACCATTTCAAAAGATGTAAACAACACTGGTCCAGAAGCACTTCCTGTTTCAGTTTGTAACTGTTTTCTTTATTTCACATGTAAAGAAAACATCTTAAAGGTGTTTGTTTAACTTTTTGATTCAGTTTTAAATGTTCTGTTGGTTGTATTTTATCCCAGCTTTTATGTAGTGTTAAAAAACTGAAACAGGAAGTGCTTCTGGACCAGTGTTGTTTACATCTTGTGAAATGGTCTATAAAACAAACTCAGTAACAGATATATTTTTATTTTGGGCAGATCAGCTCCTCCCTCTAGAATTTACCAAAATTGAAGTCCCTCCCACATCAGTCACATCACCAGCGAAGCTCCGCCCACTGCGATTCTCCTATAAATGCTGGAATATTCCCATCATCTACAAGTGAAGTTGAGCAAAGACTGAGTTTATTAAAGAGGACAGTGAGAACATGAGTGATCCAGAACCCTGCAGAATGAAACACACTGAAGATCCTGAAGAACAAAGAGGTTGGTGTTTATTCTTCATTCATTCATGATGCTGGAGAACATTCATGTTAGAAACATTCAAGAACTTCATCACTTTTAGATAAATAGTTCAACTATGAAATGGATACAAAAGTTTTGGTTTTCAAAATGGTCAGTAACGCAAGGTTTGAAAAATGTTCATATTGATTGTCAACATCAAGTCAAACCTTTTTTTTTAAGAATCGGTTCAGGCACTGGTGCCTATTAAAAAGATGCGATTTGGCACTGATTTCATAAAAAAAATAAAAAATACCCAACCCAAGATTATTCTTCTTACAGTAACTTTGGTTACTGTTTATTATAACCAATACATAGGGATGCACCTATATGGAAATTTTATCAGATACCCGATAACTGATCATACTTTAATAATATATTAATATAATATATTTAATATAATAATAATAATATATTGGCTGATTAATCTATATTTGTATAGAATTTAGATTTCTCACCATTAAAAATCCATGTCCCAGACACACAATTATAATTATGTTTTCTTGATAATTTTATGTAGCATAGTGTAAGAAATTACAGTCTGCTCCGATCAACCTTCCACTCCAATATAGATTATATTGAAATGTTCCTTCACTTGAAAGAGCTTATTTATCATAGAATCAATTCCTTACAATCTTAAACAAAATCACAGAGTCATGGTTATCACCTATAGAGTGGGAAAGACAGTGGGTATTCAAGAACCATCTTGATTAGGGAGTTTCTGAGAGATATTATCACCTTTAAATATTTGACCGTATCAGTCTAACACTTGTATCGTTCTCTTAGATTTACATTTAAAGACAGAGTTTGGAATAACAAAGACATAGACACGGAGGCACCACTTGTCTCGTTCTCTTCAATTTACATTTAAAGACAGAGTTTCAGCTCCACGCTGATAGAGAAGACGAATCTGTTTGTCTTGATTTACATTTAAGAGAAAGCTTCATTTACATGCTGAGAGGGAAGACAGATGTAAGACTGTATAAAATGTTTGCGCTGGGATGAGCTCGGGGTTCATTCTGACGCTGGTGAACCCAAGGTGCTTTGTGTGCCTTGCCACTGCTATGCTGTAATAAACTTCATTTTTGAGATCTTCGACGTCCACATCATTTTTTCTTACACTGGCGAGCCACCCTTCCAGGAGGTTTCCAACAAAAAGCGGGGAAAAAGGTAAGAAAAAGCCGTTTTCTTTCATTTAAGTGCTGTTTTGTCAGGAAACCCCTTGTTTAAAAAAATCTAGAAAAGGAAAATTTAAGGACAGAAGAGAATTTGGTTTATTCAGTCTTAGCAGGAGGAGTTGTTAAGCCTATTCTGTACGATTTTGTTTAAGATTCTAACGGAACTGAATCAGCCCGAAGTAGTGTGGTGACAAAGTTGTATTTGAATTGTTGTTTCTAAAGTAATTGAAACAAAGTGCTTAAGTGTAAAGTTTCTAAAGTAACTGAAACTTGGTGTTGGCCTCTTATAATTCTGTTAAGATTCTAAAGTAAGTGAATAAACCCGAAGTAGTGTGGTGGCAGAATTATATTAGATTTGTTGTTTCTATGTTTCTAACATATTTGAAACTGTTGGTGAAGTTGTTATAATTCTGAGGAAATTCTAAAGTAATTGAATAGACCCGAAGCAGTGTGGTCACAGAATTATTTCACAATTATTGCGTGTTAGGAGGAGTTGTTAAGCTTATTCTGTACGATTTTGTTTAAGATTCTAACGGAATTGAATCAGCCTGAAGTAGTGTGGCGGCAGAGTTGTGTTGGAATTGTTGTTTCTAAAGTAATTGAAACAAAGTGCTTAAGTGTAAAGTTTCTAAAGTAACTGAAACTTGGTGTTGGCCTATAATTCTGTTAAGATTCTAAGTGAATAAACCCAAAGTAGTGTGGTCACAGAATTATATTAGATTTGTTGTTTCTATGTTTCTAACATATTTGAAACTGTTGGTGAAGTTGTTATAATTCTGAGGAAATTCTAAAGTAATTGAATAGACCCGAAGCAGTGTGGTCACCGAATTATTTCACAACGATTGTGTTTTATAGTATAGTAGATTAGAGAGTCTGACACCGTGGCTATATGTGAAATTTAAAACAAAAACCCGAAGCAGTGTGGTTTTGCCCGACGTGTGGCAGTGTTTTAAATTTTATAAATATTGTTTAAGCCCAAAGTTCTGTGGATAAGTCAACTGTTTTAAGAAAATAACATGAAACCCGACGTAGTGTGGTTTTGTCCGACGTACTGTGACAGTGTTATTTTTTTTAACTGTTTTGTCCAGTGAAATTTATGGTTTAAAAAGACTGTGGCCATGGTTAAGTTAAGCCTCAGGTAGTGTGGCTATCTTGTTCATTTGCGTCCGAAGTACTGGAGCTGTGAATAATTAGATGAATGGTAGTTATTTAAAATCAGACTTTGTGAATAACTATTAGATCACGAGATAGTCTAAAGCCAGATAAAACTTTTGAAAATGGAAGAAATTATTGTGAAATACATCGCTAAACATGGTTCTCAGGGAATGTTTGACGGAATAGAGAATATTGTTGATAAACCATATGAGTGGGCCATCTCTAAGTTTGAAAATGATCCCAAAATGCCTAAGAACAAAAATGGGAAAATTGCTAATGCGCTTCAAGCTCTTTTTGCTTCATACAAAGTAACTAGGAGGAGAGTAGATGAGTTAGAGGCTGAAAATGAGCGACTCAGTGTTGGGGTAATTTCTACAAAAAATTACCTGGCTAGTGAAACGATATGGAAAGAAGAAAAGGTCAAGATGCAGAATGAGATCGCACTTCTTAGAACTAACAATAGTATGCTCAAATCATCTGTGGAAACATTGTCCAAAAATTTGGAGGAAGCAAAGGCGGCATGTCAGTTCATGATAAAGAGTGACACAACTGAGAAAAACCATAGTAAGACATTGTTAGGTGTCAGATTGTGTAACCCAGTTCCAGAAATGCCAGATTTGCAGGAAGATAGAGCTGAGGGTTGGGAAAAAGATTCTCAGTCATTCAGTAGCCAATACTCAGACTGTAGAGTCAGATTTCCCATGGCACCAGTCCATACTACGACGACTATGCGTGCTAGTGAAGGAAGAGAAGAACCAATGACCTCTACCATAGTCCGAGGGTTTAATCCAACTGAACTAGAAACTATGATCAAGAATATTGGTAAATTTGATCCTGCCAAACAAGATCCATTAGATTTTCTGAAAAACTTGGAGGAATATGCTGAAGTGTACAATTTAACAGATGGTGATGTGTGCGTCGTGTTAAGATTGTGCTTGCCTGACACTTTGTCTGGAGCCTTAACTCAGAAAGTAAAGGACAGAAATGCTAATAAGTCAGAGAGGAAAAAGGCACTGCTTGAAGTCTTAGGTGTGATGTCAGTTAATTGGGATAGAATATCTGAGATGCGCATGAGGAAAGGGGAGCATCCAGCCGCATTTTCAGAGCGATTATTGGAGATGTTTAAAACTTTCAGTGGCAATCCTGACATTACTAAGAATGATGTCAGTTTCAAGACTGCCTTGATTAACAAATGTGACCCACTCACCCGGTCTGCTGTGACAATGCTTGTGACTCCACTCTCTGAATACAGTGACATCATTGGTAAAATGACACAGTTTTACAACAATAATGCTAATGCAAATAGTCAAATGAAAACGGTCAAATCTAGACATCCAGTTGCTGCCGTTGGCGGGAGAGAATGTTCCACTCCATGGTCTAATGGTTTCCATCATAGAACAAAGAGATTTGCAAGAATAAATTCAGAAGGTGTTGTTATTTGCTATGCATGTGGAAAAGCTGGTCACATTGCTAGACATTGTCAAGACATTGAGAGACGTCTGCAAAGCTTTGTCTGTCATGCATGTGGAAAGGATGGTCACATTGCTAGACATTGTCAGGACATTGAGAGACGTCTGCAAAGCTTTGTCTGTCATGCATGTGGAAAGGATGGTCACATTGCAAGGCACTGTTTGGAGAAAAGAAAGGAAGATCAGGAAGTTGTTTGTTTTGCTTGTGGACTGATGGGGCACAAGGCAAGAAGGTGTCACTTGTCACACAAAAGAAAGTTGAGCTATCATGGTTTGCTTAAGAAAATAGGCAATTTAGAAACCCAGTTGGCAATGTTGAAAGGAAATAAAGAAGCGATTCACACCTTGTCCAACGTATCACCGCATGAGCAACAGGAATGTAGCTCAGTCTCAAGCAGATGCTGATACAAATTAGAATTAGGTTTATGATAGTAACACGTTTTAGAAAAGGATTTACTATCAAAAGGGGGGTGATTCTTTATGCAGTTGTAATTTATAACAAATGTTTTAATGACATTATGTTTAGGAATATATATTTTTTTGTTTTAAATGTTACCAATGTTTGATGTTTTGAGATTAAATTTCTGTGACTTTGATGTTTAAATGTGAAAAGATGATTGTGGGGGAAACGGGGGGCAACCTCTTCTTTTGGTCATTGTTTCAGATATAAGCATCGAGATGTTTGCCTGAAACGTGTAACCTCCTGGAGAAAGATGACATGGTCGTTTGAAGGACGAGAAAGAAGTAGAACCAGTGGAGCCAGGGGATTCTCTCAAGAAAAAGAACAGAATACAGAGATTTCCAGACCTGCAAGATCCAGAACTCCAGGCCTAAGAGACCTAGAAACCCTGAGACCCACCATGGGATGGATGGAACTGATGAAGAGGCACAGACTCGAGCACAACAATGACTGCGTCTTCTAGAAGAACTTATGGTCCATGTGAAAAAGAATAGACAATGAGAAAAGAAACAAGAAGAGATCAAACCATTTCAGAGACTATAGACAGCAGTCTTTGCACATGGAAAACAAGTGGGCAGAGGACATACCCACTCTAAGAAATGCACAAAGACACAAAGACTGAACATGAAGAGACAAGTATATGCATACTCATTTGCATTAGATATATTGTTGTCAAGTGGATGCACACATGTGGATAAAGGATGTCCACACTGAGAAAATGAA